GGCCGCTGTCAAGGAAAATGAAACAGAACAGAACACACAAGTGTCTGCGGGTGTGGAGGGGCTGGAGCCCCACACGCCGCTGGTGGCAACGAGAATGGCGCGGCTGCCGCGGAGAACAGCTGGTGGCTCCTCGAAAAGCCAAGCGTAGAATTACCGAAGGATCAGCAGATCCACCTCTGGTGGCAGAATCGAAAGCGGCGGCTCCGAGCGGTCTCCGCACACCGTTTGTAGCAGTTTCTGCACAGCAGCCGACACGTGGACGCAAACGGTAACCACAATGCCACACGTAGACAACGCAACGCGGCTCAGCCTTCAAGAAGGGAGCGAGTTCTGGCACAGGCTGCAACCGGAGGAGCCCTGAGGACGTTCTGCCACGTGAAATGAGCCGGCTCACGCGACCAGCACGTAGGATTCCACTTAACCAGGCGCAACGGACTGAACTGTCCCCTCTCGGCTTGACCCCCACGCGACGGTGGCAGGAGCTGGGGAGGGGGTAGGTCACAGGTGGGGCCCTCGTGAACGGGTTAACGCCGACGGCTCTCTTGCCCCGCTCCCACCACGTGAGGACGCAGCCAGAAGATGCCGTCTGCGCCAGGAAGAGGCCACCGCCGGACACCAAAGCTGCCGGGTCTGGGCCTCCGGGCGCACAGAACCGTGAGAAACGTGTTTGTGTTTAATTCACCACCTGCAGGACTCTGTTACTTCTGCACTTGGACCTGAGCAGACCAAGACGACAAGGTACTAAAAACGTCAAATCTGCAGAGACAGAAGACAGCATGGAGGTTGTCAGGGGCCGGGGTAGGGGAATCAAGAGTCCGTTTAATAGGGACAGTTTGAATTTTGCAAGGTGAGAAAGTTCTAGAGAGATGGAATACAACATCAATGTGGATATACTTAATGCCACAGAACTGTACACTCAAAAGCAGATAAGACAGGCCAGGCGCGGTGGCTCACGCCTGTAATCCTAGCACTCTGGGAGGCCGAGGCGGGCGGATTGTTTGAGCTCAGAAGTTCGAGACCA